AGCAAAATGATTGATTTGAATGTGTTAAAAGTGAAATAATATCAGTTTCTCAATCTCATTGTTGTTTGAGCTACTACCCATATATTCCTACCCTTGAACCAGGTCAAGTTACAACCTGATAAGTCATTTTGATCAATTGTGCATGTGTTAATGTTCCTCATCTTTAGGAACTTGAGAATATGAACAAGTTTATGGTAGTGTTATTGCTGTGATGGATTGAGTGATTGTTACTCCCTCAAACACTTGAGTGCTGAGCGTTATATGTTTATCTTGGTAAGGAGTGTTCAAGCTAGATTCTGACATTTTCATGAGAATAGAAGGCATTGTTAGGAGTTCTTTGCATTGATTCAGTCATGCTTAGCATAGTGATCTATTGATTGTCTGTGTGGTGTTATGTTGGATTAATTAATTGTTTTCGGGATTGAGTCTTGTACATTGCTGGGGACAGTAACGTTTAAATCTGGGAATGATTTGATGTGCCTCTGGCAAGTGTAGTTTTTCTGTGTTAAAATTGATAAGAATTGAGTCATAAGAGAACAATTTAAATAAATATTTGCTATTTATATTGATTCTTTCTATGTCAATAATATTCACCTTTTGGTTGTGTTTTTACAGGAAAAAGAGGAGTGAAAATTACAAATTATAAAAAGCCTCTTAATGCAACTCCACACGGATGTATCACAGTACATATGCCAGCAGAATGGAGCAGACTGGCGCCACACTGGCGCACACCCGCGCCAGTTTTCGGATTTCATAGCGGTACCTTGCAAGTGGCGCCAACCGGCGCCGGTTTCGTGAAGAAATAAAAAGTGGCGCCACTTAGCGCCAAACTCATGCTAAGTGGCGCCAAACTCAAGCAAAATGGCGCCATGTTCTATGCCATCTAGCGCCAAGGTCATGAAGAAAGCAATGTCACAGTAACTTGGCGCCTAGTAGCGCTAAAGTGGCGCCGGTTTGCGGGAAAGAAACACCGCGTTGTCTGAAGGGTATTTTTGGAAGAATAAAGGAGACTTATAAATAGGATCCTCAAGATAGAATTAGGTATTCAGACCTATTCTACTGAGAGAGACGATGGTGGTGCTCCGAGAGGATTCTGCAGATCAAGTTCTTCTTTTCCTCTCTCTTTAATTTTATGTTGTTATTGAATATTGAATTTTTAGCCATGATTATGTTTAGCTAGTTTACTTTTTATTGTAGTTAGGGTCACAAATCCTATGTGAACCCTTGTTACGCGAATTGATTTATAATTGCTCGTTTATATAATTATTTTTATCTCTACCCTGCTCGTATTTTATATTTTCTTTATTAGAATTGATCACTCTAATAGTTGATAATAGTCTGAGGGTTAGAACCCTAGATAGGAATATTGGGGTTTTCATCCTGAAAGGGGGTAGAATAACGGTTCGTATGCATACTAGGAATATATGTGTATTAAATTGCGGATGCCTAAATTATTGAGTTCATCGCATAATTTTCATGAGGGGTTGCTAAGGGATTAGAATTCCAATTGAGAATAAAGGGTTAAATTGCCAAGGGATTGGAATTTAACTAATTATTTTAGATAATAACTTATCCGAGTAATTTTATAAACGAATATTGTAAATCAATCCAAAGTAAGAAGTGAGAATCATAATGTGAGTGCGCTCTAGCTACAATGCTTTTCTCATATTTTCACAAACCAATTCTTATTTTTATTGTCTATTTCTCATAAGCAAAAATTACAAAAACAAGTCTTTATTTTCAGTTCTCAATTTCACAAAATTCGACAATATTTGCCACAACCTAACCCTTCCATTCTTAAAAGGAACAATTAATTGATATTCGACTCAATCCCTGTGGAGACAATACTTTACTTACTATCTATATTACTTGTGCGATCGGCGCACTTGCCGGTGAGCATCAATGAGTATTCGAATACTCCAAGTCTTCAGAAAGTATCCGAATACTTTCACTTAAGTATCCGAATACCACAAGGTATCCGAATACTTTTCACACAGTATCCGAATACCACAAGGTATTCGAATACAATACCCTCAGTATCCGAATACTATACAATATTTGAATACTTTCTCATAGGTATCCGAATACTTTTCTTCCCAGAAAAGTATCCCAATACTCCTTCAAGGAGTATTTGACTACTGAAGGATAAGTATTGGAATACTACACGAAAAGTATTCGAATACTTATTAGACAGAATGCAGAAATTCGTGCATTCTCTGCATAAGTCTATATTTAAGGGTCCAAACTTGATCTGGAGTCCAATAACTCCATCAACAGATGTTCATTAATATATTTTAGACTCAGAATCACAGTCCTTAACTCAAATGATCCAAGTTTCACTTTTTAATGGATTAAACAAGCTTAAATCATGAAAATACAAAAAATATGATCATGGTATACCTCCAAAGCTCAAAACTCCGAAAATGACACTGACTTGGAGTTCTCTACACAGCACAATGGTTCTGACTTAAGAGAACCACAAAAATATTGATCAAGCAAGGTGCTTTCTCCACAAAGTTAGCTTCTTGGAGCCTTCAATGGTAAGAAAATGACTCTCACCAATGGGAACCACCAACTCAGCCCACAACTCACACTAAGACAGTAGCTACCACTCAGAAATGGAGAACCTTTCACCCTCCAATGGCTTAAACACACTCACACAAGGAGTCTTTATGAAGAACTCAAGAGAAATGGTGGTCTCAAGAGGCTTCAATGGAGAGGGAAGGTAATGAAATGGTGAAGGGAAGGTGGCAGCAGCCAAATGGCACCAGAAGGCTCTATGTAGGGCTATAACAATCTGACCTAGGGCTTTGTCGCTCTTTAGCTTATATAGGTCCACTTGATTAATCACACATTATTAGCACTAATAGCTACGCTTATCGTTTTAATCTCAAACTTAGGATTCTGAACCTAGCCATTTTTCTAAGATTTTTCATATTTGTATTATGATTTTTCGCAGCATTTTGCCGATACGCGCTTTTACGAAGCCAATATCAGTTCTGACACCAGTTCTCATTATTTTGACTTGAAACTTATTATGCTCGTCCTATATATTTTTCTAGTGACATATACACACTTTTCATAATTTTCCGGGATACTTCATCGATACGCATTTATACCGTGAGACAGATACGCTATCTGCACTTTTTGTCAGAAAAACGACTTTCAACATTATAATTCACTTACTATAATTATTTAAGCCTTCTCATAATTATTAGGGTCAATTATGAAATTATTTTATTAATCTCATAATTATTTAATTAAATTTCTTAATTAACGGTGCAGGTTCTTACACATCACACCAAACCGTGCCCTAAGTATATTTAGCAAGTAATCTACATTTTTTATATATATTAACTGACTTGTGAGCAAAGTAATCCAACACTATATGAGGAGTTACCAAATCATAAGTACATATATAATTCCTCTCATACGGTCTATTTTCTTGTAGTCTCTCTAACTTTGTGTACTATTCTCTTGTTACGAAATGCCTTCGAAAGTGCACTACCCTCTTATGCGTATCCATTGCCAGCATTCTTCAAGATTTGAGGTTTCTAAAGAAAAATTTGCAATCATATGCTTTATTTCTAATTTTAAGAAATGAAACATAACATACAATCATTTCATTTTATAGTAAACAAACATTGACGTTTCTTCAGGAAATAAATTCACTATTATTAGGCACCACACGTCTCGATATAGTTTTGAATTCAAAGAACATGTATCGGTAAAAAGAATAGTACGTACAGCGAATTAGTTGCTATGCAAATGGAGCAGAGTCATATCTTATTGGCCTTGCCCATACTTGGACCACACCTGTCCTTGACTCGAATCACTAATAATTATTAGATATGCAATTTTACGTACGATTACGTAGACGTGATGAAACTTTTGTGAATATCATATCCGTTTGAAGGAATCGTTTCCTCGTCTTAAAATCTGGGTTATACAAAACTTTTATGGAAAATATGTTTATCATATTATAAGACAAATTATCTCATGAAATATTAGAAATATATTCCCCAACTTTTATATATATACTTCATTTTTTCTTTCTTTCTAAATCATCATGCATGCGGTCGCTAACCATGCCAGGTGAGTCTGATTCAAGCTCAACTTAACACAATGACATAGCCAGAAATTCGAAATCACTTATAAGCTGGAACAATTCCCTGGTAGAATACTCCACTATTTAATAAATATGAAGAAGAATAAACACAATTTTCAAATTAATACACTCACTCTCACCCATGGTATAAAATTTTGATTTATCATTATAATTTTATGATTTTTTTTTCATCAAAATAATTTTACTAATTTCTAAATACTTTTATGTTTTTATGATTTTATGATTTTTGTACGTTACAATTTTATGTTTTACAATTTTTTTATTCCTTTTTCGATTTTATGTAAAATCTCAATTTTAACTATCTTGCTCCCATCTATTAAAGTAAAAAAAAGTAAAATATAAATAGATATGGAAATATGCCGCAAGCATTTTCGTTGATCATAATTCACATTCAATTTCCTCATATTTCTCCCTATGCAGAGTATTAGGCAGCGGCCAAGGTAAACTCAATAAGGGGAGATTACACTGTTGCGCACTAGAGGTAAGTAACTTAACTAGGAAAGAATACCATTCACACATTAAATGGGAGACAAAATCATATCTCACACAATCTTCCAACTCAAAATCTATTTTTTTTCTAAGGTGAGACTTCATTTATCACTCACAATTCCCAACACGAAATACAGTATTTTAAATTTTTTTACATCTGGACATACCCTTATTAATAACGTGTAATAGCTAAAGTAGGGAAATATTTATTATGACCAGTCAATGATTTGGTGCTCCCTCTCACAACATTAATTTTTTTTTTATCTTTGTTATTTTTTTTCTTTTTCAATTTTACTCTTTATTTACACTAAGGGACCACCTAAAATATGATGGTACCGATCGACCGTAAATTCTCTCCTAAAGTAGAGAGATAGAGAGAGGTATCATAGGATACAAACATTGGATTTCCATCTTATCTTTTGCAGCATTACATAGTAAAAATAATAGAGTGGTTAATTAATAAGACTTAACGTACTCCAATTAACCAACCTCACTTCCCACGTTCCTTCTCCCTCAGTTCTTGGAATTCGAGCTTGAGGGCTTAACCTTCCCGGACCCACCTTCACAGAGACGATTGATCATATACAGAGCATTGCTCGTGACCCTTGCCACGTCAGTGACTCTGCGCTTCAAGTCCCGCCTCACCTTTCCTTCGCCGGAGAAGCCATCGAGGCAGGTATCGCCGTCGGTGAGGGCGGCGCTGACCCAAGTCTGGGCGTTGCTCATCTGCCACCGGAAAGTCTCCGGTCGAAGGTGCTGCAGTTCCTCCAGGCTCTTCCTTAACTCATCCACCGAGTCCGAAATCTGTTCGGCACAGTCACTCAGCGCCACTCGCTGTCTTTTTGTTATTATGTCAGCGGTGCTTTTGGGCCCGGAATATGACTTCAGGTACTTGGAGGCCCTAAGAGCGTGGGCCAGGCTCACCCTAAGCGCGGCCCGTGCCACGTCCAATGAAGTGTTGGTGGGCCCCGCGTAGTTGGAGAGTGTTCGGATGCACAGCCTCGGGTACCTGGCGTGGACGCACGATGAACGGACCAGATCTTGCGGCTCATCGTGATCGTGCGCTAAGAGAAAGGTTGGAGATGTGAACAAGAGGGTGAGGAAGAGAGTAGAGAATGTGAGTGTGAGATGTGTTTGCATTTTTGTTTTCTTTTTGGTGTTGTGTAGATCTGAAAAGAGAGGAGCACTAGTGGTATGAATGAAAATGTGAACTTTGTTTTTTGAAGATTTTGTGTTTTGTGAAGCATTGTTGGCGTTTGGAATAAGCGCGGATTTATAAGGGCATGTTTAGGTCTCGAGAGTGGTACTCTTAATGCCACAGAATTACGGAAATGCCTTCCCCATCGTCCGCCAACGATGGAGGGCTTTACATTGCAACAGTGGGAGTTGCTTTTCCACTCTTTGCTTCTTTTTATTTCTATTTCCTTCTTTGCATAATAATAATTATTTTAAAATTAAATTATTAATTTTTAAAACTTATTTGTATAATTTAATGAAATAAAGAAGAGAGAATATTAATAAACGGTTTTATATATGTCATGTTGTAAGAAACTTGTAGTATCATGTAGGGTTGGCAAAAACGAGCCAATTCATCGGGTTGGTTCGTAACCCGTAAAAAATGAGTCGGGTTGGGTTGGCCAAAACGAGCTGCCAACCCGGCTCGTTTCAACCCGTGAAAAAATGAGCCAACTCGCGAGTCAAACGAGCCAGTTCGCGGGTTGGATTTTTTTTTTAATAAAAAAATACAAAATTTAATATACAAAAATGGACAAAACCCACACATGTTGTCATCATTTTTTCTTCTTTCTCTAAACCTAAGTCCCTAATCTTCTCACATCCTTGCCATTTTTATATTGTTAGGCTGTGCTGGCTCTGTTTGGTTCAAATATCTTACTCACTTGGTAGCAAGTTGTTAAATATCATAGATACAAGAGGAAATGATAGTAATCCTTGTTGTATTAAACTACACAACATTGGTGCTATTATATAGCAAACCAATTGTGCAGGAATGACCATCAGCAACATGGATAGTGCTCCCCCTTAAGAGGAACTTTTAAACAGTGCCAGAATTATCATCGGCAAAGACAATTATGCTGGAATGACCATCAGCAACATGGACAGTGCTCCCCTCAAGAGGAACTTCGGTGTCGGAATTAACATCAGCGGAGACAACATCAGCAACTTGGACAGTGCTCCCCCTCAAGATGGATGATGAATAGTATAAATACTCTATCTTGGGAAGAAAAAAGATTAAAGAAAAACAAAGCTTCGCAGAATCGGAAAAGTCGTCGGAGATGGTGGTGGATCGCTGAAAAAGTCGCCGGAAGTCATCGGAAAAGTCACCGGAAAAGTCGCCGGAGAAGGCTGTCAACGGTGGACGACGCGGTCAACGGTGGTCGGTCAACGACAACGGTGGTCAACCCAACAACTTCCCAAGGATCATTCTTTTCTGATGTGACAGATCAGTCCTGCAGTCACAGAGCATACTAAGAAAAACCCGAAAAAGAAATAGCAACGGGAATCCCTCAAGGAGGGTGATATCTCTCTATAACCATATTGAAATTATGAAAAATAGAACTAAGTTAAACGGATTAAGATTCCTCTTGTTAGGATCTGATACCATGTTAAATATCATAGATACAAGAGGAAATGATAGTAATCTTTGTTGTATCAAACTACACAACATTGGTGCTATTATATAGCAAACCAATTGAAGAATACAAAGAGACACACTCAATGTGGGACTTCTACACTATTAACACTAACACTCTTAACACAAGTGGTTCTGATTGTTTCTTGATATTGATGCAAATTTGTTGTGAAGAAAATTCAAAACTAAAATATTTTGCTTTTATTTCTCATTTTGTAACCTTTTGTTTAAGCTAATTGAAGCTGCATAGCTGGTGCATTAATACTACATGGTCATTTAAATAGGCTGAAAACGAGCCAACCCGCGAGCAATTTTCGAGCCAACCCGTGAGCCAATTTTCGAGCCAACTCTCGAGCTATTTTTTCAAGCCAACCCATGAGCCATATTTTTGAGCCAACCCTAACCCGACTCGGGTTGGGTTGGGTTGGGTTTTCTGGCTCGTTTTTTTTCTGAGCCAACCCTAACCCGACTCGTTTTTTTCGGGTTGAATGCGGGTTGGGTTGGGTCGGGCCGGGTTGACCCGTTTTGCCAACCCTAGTATCATGCATGTTACTCTAATATGTTTGATGTGGGTCCCACTCAAAAAAAAAAAAAAAAAAACAAGGTGGGGCCATCAGTTTTTGTGAGAGTAACATGACACTACAAATTTTTTACAACATGATATATATAAAATTTATTAATAAAATAAAACAATTATTTAACTAAGGGATTAATATTTATCCTTTTAAAAGACATAAAAATATATTATTTCAATCAAAACTACTGTGTTTTATGGTTGAAAAGAGAGTTAAATAACAGAAATTATGGTGGAAGAAAGTGGATTTTTTTTTTAAATTTAAATATTAAATAAAAACAATCATTTTAGTTAAAATGACTGCAGCTTAAAAGAATAAATATTTTTTTCTTTAATAATTAAATATAACAATTTTCTTAATCTTCGTTTAAGAACGAAGCAACACAAATTTAAAATTAATCCCAAATGGAAGAATATGAAACGGTTTAAAATACTTATTAAACATTTTAAACTAGCATAATTTGCCTACAAAATAGCATAATTTTACCATGCTTTAAGTGGTGAGAATACTCAAATACGCCTTAATATGCGAAATAGTTAATTTAGTTGTTTAAGTAGTTAATTAATTATACCAGTTCAACAAAAAGAAAATAAGCCAGCTGGTTAGCATGTGTTTGGATTTCTCCAAATGTTTTTAAGACTTGAGATTTTACAGCCAAAATAAAACGAAAGGTAAATTTTTTTATTTTTTTTTTGGTATCAAACGAAAGGTAAATTTTATTTGAAGTCACACACACACCACAACACAATAAAGAATAAAACATATTGAAAATATAAAAGTTTGAATGCTTACTTCATTTGATAATTAAAAATATTATTGGGATGAAAAATTAGGAAGTGCAAGAAGTATTTGTTTTAGCTATAATTCTAATTTTTTTTCTAATTAATACTTCTAATAATATTTTTAATTGATAATTAAAATATATTAAGAATTTAATTTAATAATTCTATTTATCTTTACTATTAAATATTAAGAAATTTGTCAAAAATATTTTTTTTTTAAAATATATTATTACTCCTTTTCTCCATTACTAATTTAAAAGGATAATTGAAAGGGAATGATTGCTTACTTTTGCACAAACTGGAATGTGTGTATTTTTGTATTTATTAAGTGGATTCTTTCACGTATGTTTTAATTTCACCATGTGAAAAGTATTAGTTATTTATTATAACTTAATGATCAGCCATTAAATTGTATTCTTTTCTTTTTTATTTTATGAATTTTATAAATACAATTATAATCATGGCGAACTGAGGGAGCCCTCCTTAAATTTTAAATTTTTTTATTTTATGTAAGAAATAATATTTTTTTAATAATAATAGTTAGCCCTTCCCTAAAAACTATTTATTGTAGTTAATATTTTCTATTAGTCTTAATAATATTTATAATTTTAAAATTTTATTTTCACACCTTATTATAAAAAATCCTAGATTCGCCGCTGATTATAATTGAACTTTTTTGCAATGTTAATAACCCGGACCGACTCAGCCGGGTCGACCCGGGAACCGATGAATCGGTTATATAACTGGTCCAGTTGAAGCAATAGACCGGCTATGCATCAGAACCGGTGTGACTCGGTGCGACCCAGCCGATTTTTATGAGAATCAGTGACTCGGTCAGTTAATCGGTGACCTGGCCCGGTACAAAAAAAAAATTCAAAAGTTTTTTTCAAAAAAATATCATAATGGACATATTTGAATACTTTTTGCTTAGTGACTTACATAAGTTATGTACCTACAACATTAATATTATCTCAATTATGCACTATACAAAAAAATTTGATTTGATTTATAGTTAGAGATGTCGTTTACTGAATCTGAAGCTCCGTATCACGATCATTATATTTTTTTTGATTCTTTGTTGGATAATAATATGTAATTTATTATTTTTATATTAAAATATACTAAAATTTTATCATTTTTTTTCCAGATATTTGAGTATGTTTATAACTTTTTTAATATAAATTATAAAATTACATATAATTATCAGGTCATGCAGTTGAACCAGTGACTCACTGGTTGAACCAGTGATCCAATAACCCAGTACCTCAACCGGGTCAATGACTAGGCCGATTTTAATAACATTTTTTTATAGTTAAAACAAAACACGATAGATAAATGAGCATAAATTCCAAAGCTTGTTTATGAATCTTGTAGGCAGTACAGATTCCTCTACCATAAATCCATAATTTATGTGTGAGTAAGTACTGCACACTCCATTATTTTTTCCCATTAATTCCTTTCTAGATTTTTTTTTTTATTAGAAGAATCCTATCCAGAGTCTCTCAACTTGAAGAAGAGCTAGCAATTATGCCCTTATAAGTTTATACTATATATTATGACATTTTCAGTTGTTTGGTGTGACCATCGTATAATATAAGCTTATACAGCATAATCCCTTAATACATCAAAACGATGTATAACTTAATCCGGCCTAAGGGTGAGGGATAAGGCCTGATAAAAGATTGATGTATTAACATCGTTGACCAATGTAATTCTCAAAAAATAATATATTATTTTAATATTAATCTATTAAAATAAAAATTAATTTTTCAATATATTAATTTTTAAAATATTGAATATTTTTATTTTTATAAAAATTAAATTTATATTTTGGACACACTGATCAATAAATTTTTATAAAAATTAATATCATATGACATTTTTTTGAAGAATTATATAATATCTTTATTAAAGGATACTTTTATTAAAAATATTTATTTTTATCATATATAGTATTATACAGTCATTACCAAATACTAGATGATATTATCTTATACAATATATTATTTTATACAATACCGTGCCAAACGCTGTATAATATTAAAATTCAACCAGGTCTTATACAATCAGGCCTTATACTATCAGACCTTATCCTATACTATGCACCAAACATGCCCTAAGGAATCCCCAAGG